TCACTGACAAGCTGCACGTGCTGTGGGGCTATACTTAAAAGCACAGAGGTTCTTCAGATGGTATCCCACCTTAGAAAGGGTAGATTTCAAACCATGCACCAAGTTGCTAATGAGGATACAGGAAATCTCATCCATTTTTTTCCACTTGAAGCAGAACATCTCTTCCCACAGAGGGAAATGTTGGTGTTTCCCTGTATGATTTAGGCTTAAAGAGGAAGCTGACAGGCATAGTGTTGTGGTGAAATAGAAGAACTGGCTCCAACACAAACAAGCCTAAGCTTGACAAAATAGGCTGTAGTTTTAACAAGCAGCTTAGGAGAAGACTAAGGCAGAGGCTCTTAATGAAAATGACCACCTTTTTAGGCCAAACAGAGTAACATTTTTCAAGCCGTTCAGATTGGAAATCCTATATGAAAATAAAAGAAACTTCACAGTTACCATACATGTTTTATAAAGCTAAAGTAAAAAATTATGGTAAATGTGATAAGCCTATAGAATTTATTGTTTTATGTATGGTTTTGACAGGTTGCCAAGAGAATGGTGCTGCTATATGGAGAGTGGAAGAAATGACATTTTCTTTGCTTTTGGATTGTTATAGAATTTTCAGTGCTTTACAAGCCCCCAGATGGTTTTTATAACCCCTTCAGGGGTTGAAACATATTGACTGAGAAATACTGATTTATATAGCAAACTCTACTCTCTTCTCATTGCTGGCAAAATTACTGCTTTGTATATGTATATATACACAGTGGCTGAATGTAAATAATGGTCCAACAAATAATGAGGTCTGAGGCAAAATCTACCACCTGGTGGTACATTAATTCAGATGAAATGTCTCTAAATTTACACTTGTGTAAATAAGATAAATATTTGGCCCTAAATCTTTTAGGTGAGCTCTGGATAGAGGATTAAAAAAATTTGTACCATGTTTCACCCTGCAAACACAGCAGATTACTAACTCCTTTCATTGGTATCTGAAATGCTTTGCCTGTAATGAGTAGGCATCTGGAGTAAATAGTCTGTCCAGTTTTAATTTTTGGAAGACCACTGTATTCATGCATGTTCTGTATAATCCAAAGGGTATAAAACAATTCTTACTGAGCAGTGGCTTCCTAAAGTACATTGAAATCCAGCAGTGTACCATAAAGACCTCATATCCCTTGGGTGACTAAACCTGTGCTTTTGCTTTTGCCCATAGGTCCTGTACAATCAGGCTGGTGGCATGGCTCGCTGGATGACTGGCCACTGCTGCAAGCCACTGCTGCAACCTGGGTACAAAATGCTCCAGCACAGTGCCGGGGAGGAGGTAACACTTTGTTCGTCCTGTACGTCATGGATTATGTGGTCACTTAGAACATGAGTAGTATGATTTCAACTCCATCAAAGGCAGGAGGAGAGTTAGTGGTGTTCCTAAGAGAGGTCTCTATCCACCTTGTCTGAAGCTTTTCTAGAGAAAGAGAGGGTTTTCAACTCTCATTTTGGCACCTTCCTACTTTGCATTAAAGAATTAAAAATGCATTTGATCAGCAGAAGGAAAGGAAAAGCATGTCACCATAGCTTCATATTTAAGTCATCCTTTGGGAGGGTGGAGACTGCAGTTCTACTCCCCACTTGCCAGACAGAATACTATTGTATTTTACACTAATCAACCAGTGGGTAAAATACATGAACAACCCTTAGGCTGGGCAGAAAATTTAACCAATCGCCTTGTAAACAGCATCTCCTTTGCTCCTTTGCATTGCAATACCTCAGTCACTTCTTGGAGCTGGGCCTGAACTCATGCCCTGTAGCTCTGCACTGGTGAAAGCAGAACCTCTGCACTAAACTTTCTGGCAATTCTCACTATGCAGATTATAAAATTTTAGATCACAAACTTTCTCTGACAAGGCACGCACACAGCTCCCAGCTCCTTCAGCCTCCACCTCAGATGAAGCTGCCTGACACTAATACTAAGAAAAGGCAGTGAGCTGCTTCCAGATTACCTTGGATTTGCATGGATTTGGTGCTAAGCCCCATCAGCGAAGCTGCTGCTTAAGCTTTTGCATGCTGTGTTTAAGTTGTAGGACCCAAGTGACCAGAGCTGGCAAAGTTTTATTGTTGGTTCAACTATTTCTGCTCACTTGGACAGCTGTAAAAAGAGCAGGCAGCAGAGCAGCTCCAGACCTGAAAGAAGGCAGCAAGGAAGACTTGGCAGAGGAAAAAAAGCACAGGCAAGTCAGCTGGCTCGGGGGAGGCAAGTTGGAGGAATGAGCCCAAAGCACAAACAAAGCAAATGGCAGCCTTGAGGCTGGTCCAGGCCCTGGTGGGTCAGAGCAGAGCCACCGGCCAAGGCATGGCCTGGTTCCCAAGGCTGAGAGAGGCTTATGTCGGCAGTGGGGTCAGCAGAGGGTGATGATATGAATGAATGCCACTTTTTTTTTTTTTTCTTTTTGGCTGAAATTTGCCTGTTACTCCAGGCTGGGAACACTACCATTTGCTATTGTAAATACCCTATTCTAAAACACGGGCTCTCGGCACCCAGCCGAAGGAGGAAAGATCTCATCTGCAACTCCTCAGTGCTAGGAAAAGCCAGTACTGCTCTGTCAAGCCTAAATTACCTTCCCTTGGTGTGGGCAGGATGCAGTGCTTCAACTTCTTTGACATGCATTTCCTTGAGACAAATATCAATTCCCTCAGTGGCCCATCGTTTACTATCTACATAAAAACAGAGGGAGATGGTTAGAGTGGGGAACAGCCCTGCTGTTGCTATATATAGTGCCCTGTCTGCTCAGCCTGTAATGTTTTGCTATTCAGTTGTAAATAATACTATAAGGAAGGGAATAAAATGGGGAATAAAATGAAAATTTAACTTGGAGAAACTGATGTAGAAAAGCAGAGAAAAAGAAAGAAGACCACAGGTCCAGAAAACACAGGAATAAACTACCTACTTGGGCTTAAAAGCAGATGTCATTAGTGAAACGCATCCTGCCACTACTGCTTTTGGGGTCTCCTGACAGAAAGCTGAACAAATCTGTCCTTTTGGCTGGCTACTTCTTCCTGGCACCTGCCATTATGGTCCAATGTGAAGGTTTCCAGCATTATACCTAAAATAATTCTCACATTTATATTTCAAAGAGTGCTGGGAGACTGCACATATTTCTTTTACATGCACATATTTAAATCTATTCAAATTTGTTCCTCTTATGAATCATCATATCATCATGAATCATTGTCAGGACTTACTAGCTTAAACTCTACACAGTACACACTTGTAAGGAAAAATACAAAATATATATGCCTTGAATATTCCAGTGGTGGTTGGGCATCTTGCAGCAATACATAGGTTTTCTAGCAACACCCTTGTGAGGAAAAGTGGATTTATTCCCATTTTACAGAATAGTAGTAGAGGTAAAGTGGTCAGTCTGTGGCTATTAAGGAAGTCTGTGGAAACGACCCCAGATCTCTAGTATTTCAGCATAATTTCTAACCCACAGGACCAGCTCCTTCTCAAACCAGATGAAAAAGCAATGCATAAAGGAAAAAGAACAAAGAAACGGGTTTGGTTTTGTTTAGTTTGGTTTGGTTTGTTGCCAATGAAGGGTAAAAGAAGAAAGCCATTAACAAAGCATTTTCCTGTGTGATTCAAATTAGGGCAGCCATAATGGCTGAAGACAATTGTGCTTTTATTCTTTTTCAGTGATAATTTCAAATTTGGGCAAGTTTTTGTTGTTGTTTTGCCATTCAACACAAATAAGTTGAGTTTGGTTCCACCACCAGAATGATTCACTAATGCCCTAAAGAAATTGAGAATGTCCCCAGTACAGGAAATACATTACTAAATTTTAAGTCTGAGCCACATCAGTACTGATCTTTCTATGCTGGGAAACAATTTCTCTGTAGTCTGGAGGAAGTGCTCTCTAACAAATGAAAAATTAATTCTGTATTGCAAACCCCACTGAGTTCACTGTTGGGATTTTTCTTTTCTGTGAGTAAGGAATGAGTGAAAACAAACAAAGAAAACCTTTGGGATGTGAACCAAGAAGAGGCATAAAACATTAGTTGGGCTTCTAGCCATAACCTACTGGGAGATCTATGGTCTCAGTGAGTTTTTGGTCACGCTCTTCAGGAAATAGACAATACATAGTTTATTCAAGATAACTTAATGATAACAACTCCAGGCATTTTGTTTATTAGCTGTAGGTTTCTTTCTTACTGACACATTCTTCTGGAAACCTAGCCTTGGCTCTGCATTCTGCCCATGGCAGGTTTTTGTAGATTTTAGTTTCTGCGGCTCTTTCAAACTGAAAAAGAAGAAAAGAAGTTATAGGCAATATCGAAAAAAATTACATAAATTGACACACAAGTATTTAAAACTTGAAGTTTCTTTTCACCATTTTAGGGCTTTCTTTATCTGAAAACTTCTAAAATTTAATTTAAAAAATTAACATTTATCAAACAAAAGTTTGCAAAATGTGCTTTCCAAGGAACACTTTCTGATTAGCCTTATTCCCAAGACTACCTGGGTGTTTTCATACTCTCAGTTAGTGATACAATCACAGTGACTTCTCCAAACAGAGGTCAGCTCACACTCTGAAGTAGCATCACACGAAGGCATCTTGCATTTTGTTGAACAGAGTTTTATCTGTTCTGTTCCATACACTGAATTCTAGTAAACGAAAGAGGCTAGAAGGAACATTTCTTGTGATAAATAATGGGAAGTTGTAGAGGTGGGGCAGTTAGGACTGTTTCCTGCATTATATTGATAGGGAAACAATAAAAAGCTAATATTCTCCCCAGAGATTTACATATAGATTAAGACTTTAGAGTCTTGTTTCCTGGGTTTTTCAGTTTGTTGTTGTTATTTTCCACCCAAGTGGGAAAAAAACCCAAACAACTAAGTGACTTTTGAGGCTAAGAAGTACTTTGTATCCTCTGAGGATAAGGTCTAAAGAGACATAAATTCTGTATTCAGCCAAAGAATATTAAATCAATTTAAATTACTATTCTCTTTCAGCAAGTGTAGACAAACAAGGTTCGGGGTTTTGATTTCAACCTGTTTGAGTGAAACAGGCTGCTGCTAAGAGTGTCCAAGAGAACATGCTGTTGCCCTGCTCCACCAGTAGTAAATATCTAAAGTAAGAAAGAGTCCAGAAGATAAATGCTATGCCTTTGATTCCTCAAATGTTCAAACTACTGTCTGAAATAATTAGTAGCTGCAGCCTGTAATCACTTGCCATTCAGGCAGGAAGGAAACTCAGCAGCAGGCAGCCAAATTACAATGCAATGTTGGTTGCTCCTGCCTGCCTGAGCTAACCTGGCTTCTCCTTTGTGTGTCAGGGTAAGGACACAGCCCCAAAAGACAAGCCTTTCAGTTTTCTGTTGGAACACTTCCCTCATCACAAGTCAGCTAGACCTGACACCATAGCTAAATATCAGCATTTCAAGTTAGCTTGCCTTTTCCCAAAACAAGGGCTAACTTCTGAGTTTGTCAGCTAGAGTAGTACTCAGCAAATCTTTCTTCACTCATTTATTGCCCAATGACACAGAAGATGGCAGATTAGGCAGTCTTTGGCTAAAAGTAAAGCTTTCTTGCCTTTCAACTAATAACATACTTCAGGTCTTGCTTCCAAAACCCTGTTATTTCTTAGCAAGATATTTCATACTTTCCTTCTGGTCTCTTTAGTTTCCTGCCTGAAGATATAGTCTTATCATGCTAATGATCTTCAGCTTCTGTTGCTTCTGTCGTGCTTTCTGTTACCTCTCTAGGTCTCTAGGGTTTAGTCATTGAACACTCACCTCTCGTTAAGTTTTATACACATCTTTTATATAGCTATTTCTTTTGTTTATATAAAGTGTCTATCACCATACTGATACTCTTTTCCTAATCTCCCAATTTATTTCTCCACCCACCACTTCCATTTGGTATGTTTGATACCTCAGTGTCTTGGGTTTGCCTACCTCTTTCTGCATTCCAGCATTCATTTCTGCATTTCAGCTTCTTCCAAGCCTGAGGTCCTCTCTGCTTGGTAGAAGAGATTTGATTTAACTTCTATTGTCTATAGGTTAGTCCAGACATCCCATTGAGTCTGTTTGTGCTGCAACAATAAAGACAGGATTAATTGGCTCAAAGCTTTAAGAATTAAGACATATCTTGATAATTTGAGAGACAATGGGAAAGGTGGTTCCCCTGTTCCCTTCTCAGAGCTGGAGTTCAGGCTAACAGTTTTTTAAGTCATAGTTTCTGAAGTTTTTGTGGTTTCAGTTTCTGAAGGCAGAAGCAGACCGAATGGTTCACAGTTCAAACCTGTTCTTTCAGAAAGGGGTGGAGTTTGCTTTTAACAATGCCAGGCTAATTTGTGAATTAATGTCTCTATTTTCTGAGGTACAAGAGCAGTCTGCTTTGGAGGACTGGCTGACAGGATATAGTAAAAACAAAGATGAAGACAAATCTGATTCTTTAGATGAAGTTGCTACTGTGCATTAGGACTGTCAGCAGCCTACTGTCAGTCTATAGGAATTGTTTCCTGTTTTCAATTCATGATGAATATGGATAAGAGCATATATGACTTTTTTTTATTAAAAGGGAAAACCCAGTAGCACTATGGGAGACAGATAAAAAAAGGAGAAACAGAAAGGTTCAGGAAACAATTTTTACAACTACCAATGACAGAACAAGCACCTGTAATGACAAAAGGCATTGCCTTGTAGCACAAACAGCTAGGCAGACTTTTGGGCAGAAACAACTCTGTCCTTTTTCATGTAGAGGTACCTAAGAAAGCTCTAGAAGTCTCCGTATACAACTAAACAGCAGCCAAGGAACAAAACCACATTTGCCTTCAATTCACTCTTACACAACTGCAGATAGTAGATAGTGCCCTAAGTGGGGTTCATTTTTGGCTGAAACCTCGGGATGTTCATCAGTAATGACAAGACAAGGGAAGAAACCTTGCCTCTGGTGGATGTGGTTTGTACTTCCCCATGCAGTGCCTCTGCCCTGAAGTCTACAGGGGCCTTTCTCATCACGCTGCTGCTAGTAAGTAAAACCTTAAGTTTTTATATTAAGACAAGGGTGAAAATAATGGCCAAAACCCTTTCTGAGACAAGTGGTTTAGATACAGCTACAGCCAAACTTGAGTAAGTCCTGCCTGAAGCTTGAATACACTACATCCGCTCAGGTCAGTGCTCACAGTGAATGGTATTACACAAAGAAAAGTACAGGGAAGCAGGGGACAGAGAGGATGCTGAACTGCTTTCCAGGTGTCAACAGGGCCATTCCCATGGTACGTGGGTGTTGTGGACAGATGCAGCCCGTGCTCCTGCCCTGCGGTTAGCCTCCACCACAACTTCCCATCTGCTTCACTTATTTCTGGCCCTTTTGGTGGCTGTGACAGGTCAAGCCCAGGCCAGATGTCTGTGACCAGCCCCTGCTGTGCACAGGCCTGTCTCTGCCAGTCCTCCTCCCTGCAGCACCTCTGGAACCTCAATCTCTTTCTGAGGCTTCAGCAGATGGATCTGTCTGTGAACCCTAGCATCACTAGGAAGGCTAAGGAAGACATTCAGAGTGTCCCAGGTTGGAAAACTTTCACCACGCCAGAAGTTATACCATCCGATGGTTTCCTCTAGAAGCACAATGAAATCATCTTAGGAGTCTGAACAGCTCTGGCAGAGCACTTTTTCCTCCCAGGTCTGGACATCTAGCTGGCACCCGAAGACGAGAGCCCCTTCACGAACAGAGGACATGGCTGCAGTGATCTGTCTTGCTGTGTCTCTGCAGTGACTGCCACTTCCACAGCTATCATAATAGCGCTTGGGGATAAGTTTGTATCTCCAAGCTGCGTCCACTGTCTGCATTTTGAAACCACATGTAAACTGGTGGGCTCATGGGCTAGCCTAAGAAAAACTCAGCTCTGCGACAAAGTCTCTCTCAGGGTCTTCCTTGGGTCGGCAACTCTTCACGTCAAACACACACAGCCCAGAGACCAGAGGTCAAAGCTACTCCTAAACCAAGACAGGACACAATGAACTGGAGGTTGTCTCTCCTTCTGAAGAGAAAACAAACATGACTATTTGTTTTTTTGTGCTGGGCGGATAACTCTGCCTTCCCTACCATGTTTCAGTGTTGTAAGAGAGGACATAAATCAATGTCCAAACCCACTCTGTGCCTATCACTGCATAGACTTCTCCTAGCGACATGAGAGTCTTCTTTTTTCAACTGGGCTGAGATGATTTTATTTGCAGCTTTTATTTTGTTCTAGTCCTGGCTTCCCTCCATCCACTTTTGTCAGCTAGGGTTTTGCTGCTTTGTTTTCCATTCACACCGTTTGGGCCCAGTGGATAAGCTTTTAAGTCAGAAAACTAGCATGTTGGCAGCAGCGGCCCAGCTCAGGCTTGCCCTGCCCTATTGGGCTTGACAACAGCTCAGAAATGATTGATGTTCTAGCCCCAGTGCCTTCCCTTGAGATGACAGCACTCAGAAAAGCTGTCAGTGCTTGAGGAGAAAGGATCACCACAGAAATGCTGGCTCATTGCAGCTTATCTCCAGAGTTAGTTACTCGAAGATCATAAATACGTGGATTACAGTTTCTAACTTCATGAGTTCCTGGACAGTTGACACCAAGAACTGTATTTCTGCAGTAAAATATGGACCTATCTCCCTCTAGTCCCTTTATTCGCAATGCCTTGAAGATGCCAATATCTGTAATTCGTTTGGTGTACTGTGTGATTCAGAAGTTGCGGCGGACGTTTTATAAAACATCCACCCAGCTTAAAATGATTGCAGTTAAGTCCCCTCATAGAGGATTCTTCTAATTATGCCTCAGAAAGGAAGGGGCAAAAGACATGAAAAGCAACAGGAGGCATATGCATTAACATTACTATTATGTAGTTGGTTCCTGTGCCCTATGGTATCAGAGGAAGCTATTTTTGGCAATATTCCTGTTATCGAGAAGGTCCAGGAAAGTAATCCAGATGGCAATGAGTTACATAAAGCAACTTCAACTTTTCTTAAGTCATGTCTCACTTGTTTTATGTGCTAGCCCAAAGGTAGCAATCTTGGTACCTTTATGCCTGCCCCCTGTGATTGGTATTTGTTCAGGCTGAACAATCATCTATGATGGATAAATGGCATATGTCAAACCATCGGTTTTAGTAACTTGTAAGAGAAAGGTCAGGAGTTAGTCTCAAAACAGCTTTGAGACAGCTCAAAGCACCAGTCCCTCATATCCATTCATTTCTTCTAAGAGCACTTCGAATTCCCTTTGCTTCCTTTAAAAAGCATTTCTCACTGCCACTTCTGACCAGCCCAGTCCTCCCAGGTGTCCTGGGCTCTGCTTTCTTAGGATGATTATTTCTCTCACAGAGTAATTCCTGGTAGCTTGCCACAGTTTATCTCAAAAAATCTTCACAATTTTTAATAAGCTTTTTTCATGTCGTGTTGAGCAATTGTCCTGAACCCAGGACGACAGCAATCTATATTACATCATTCCTACTGAGTGCTCACTGTCAGCAAGAGCAGAGAACTGCCTACTGGATATGATTTCTTTTCAGAGGTGAAACAAAGGAATTTTTACTAAGCCTGAGTGTTTACTAAGCCAGCCAAATACGGCGAGGCTGACCCCAGCCTTTCACATGTGTAGAACCAGTTTCAGACTGCCACCAAACACTACAGAGCCCACTCACCTTTCAGAAATGGTTTGTTCACGCTAGCAGAGCAATGCAGGATGACTGAGTTCCAGTTCAGCAGCATTTAGAGTCCTGTTTGTGTAGGAATAAATAGCTACCAGAGGATCAAAGGCAGAGACTCGGAGCTTAGTGTCCATACACTGTATTCAAAATTAATGGAACATGTGAGGAGAAATTATTGCAGGTCGCTTTTTGTAATCATTAGGATTGCCTCATTCTATAATGCTGTTATTGAACAAATTCAAGGTAAATTGCATCTCTGGTAATAACTGGAATACTTTCAGGACTAGATTTTCAAGTTATCTAGTTTATTTGCATGTGTGCTTGCACAAATCGTACATGATGCATCTCTTGGCACTAGCATAGCAATTGTGTGCACAGAAGTGGCACCTGTGCACACACATGGCCAGCCAGCTACCAGGCTGGACTTGGACTTGAACACCCAGGTTGGAGACACAGATCCCTCAGAGCAGTTGGCTCCTACTTTTATTAAGTTACTGTCAAAGCAGTGCAGATAATAGAGAAGCAGGAGCTAAAAGCCAATTCCAAGTAATGTAGATGAAACTGAGTTCACATATCACTCAAGCAGTGCCAGCAGCTCCTTCAATTTTGCATCCATCTTTCCTAAACACACAGCATTCAGCAGTTCACACCTCAGGTGTGATCACACCTCATGTTAAAACATTTCTTCTTTTGTAAAACCTCTTGCCAAGTATGCTTTTGTATTTTATTACAAATGCCTATTATTTGGATTAAGTTACTTCCTTTGTATGATTGGCTACATTCCAGATGCCTCTAAAATCAGTAGTGATGAAGTGGGGGAAACAAAAGCAGCAGATGCTCTTCCTTCAGGCCTCACCACCCACACTACAATGCAGCACTCAGCACTCCTTCCCCAGACCTCTGTCCTCTCTCCATCCCTTGATTTCTGGAGCTAGGGAGGGGGAGAACTGCTGCTGATGGCAAGTGGGATGGTGATAAAATGCCATTTTCCTCTTACCTCTTTATAATAAACTCTGTCAGAACATTTAAAAACAACACAATCAAACCAAACAACAGATCTGAAAAAAGACACCTCAACAACAAACCCAACCACCCAAATTCCATTGTCCTCAACAAATTCCCTTGTCCTCAGGCTCTTCCCATTTTGTCTTTTGGTACCCATTTTGGTACTCACTCAACACTTGTAATTATCATAAATTTTGCTGTGTCTAACTGGAAATCTCTTAGCAGTCATTCCAGTATCAGGCACTGTGAGATACATCATGACAGCACCATCTCTATTCACACTTCTCCAATATGCCCTTGATAAATCATCTACTATATTTTTAACTCCTTTTCTGGATTGGCATTCAAACCTTCACTTGGTATTTCTGGAGTGTTAACAGCTGTCCCCCTATTCCTGGTGAATGCTTAGTGAAGGTTCTTGAAAATAATCTCAAACACCTAGTGATCTGTTCCTAGGGCTGCTCAAGTTTTCCATAGATGCACTAGGGGGGATCATTAGGAGCACCACTGTTGCAGTCACCCCTTGTGACACTGGTATCTTGGTTTGCTAAATGCTGCTTGAGATTAGAGATACACTTATAAAAGACAATGCTGAGGTGGGATGGGAGATAAGTTGCAACATAAAAAGAGCAGATGAGGAACTGAGGCACATTTGGCTTTCAACCAAATGTGCAATGCTCCATATAAACACATGAGAGAACAAGGAGGTGGCACATGAAAGCTCTTAAATCTGTCAAAGAAGAGAAGAATAACAATTCCGGATTATCAAAAAATACCTGTTTCACAATTCAGCAATAAAAAATTCCAGTGGCTAATTTAACTACTTCTCTGAGGTCTTGGGTTTGGTCCCTGACCTGCCAACAAACTCTCAGTGCAACCTTTAGAAAATCACTTCATTTATTTTGATCTACATCCCTGTCTGTGAAATGGGAGTAGTGGCATTTATTTACTGTGGTGCCAGACAGCAGAAGTTTGGAGCATGGGGGTGCTCAAATGCCACAGAGTCTACTACTGCTCCTCAAAAGCTGAATATTCTCCATCTTATGGAGTGGTTTTTGATGTGCATGTAGCAGAAGGTAGCTAGCAAAATGAAGCAATTAGTTCCATGACATTTTCAGCTGCCTAACGAGTTTCTGTTCTTGTCACACAAGTGTTTCAGAACTGGAGCTTGTGTTACCAGTTCTCAACATTTTACGCTTTTTCAGGCTGCAGTTCAACAGCTGTCTCAATATTGCAGTTGGAGCCAACAAATTCCATATAGATTTTCCTCAATATGTTGTCATTTTTAAAAACCCTTTGCCATGCCTCTTTGCTGTTCATGGCTTGATCATGGCTACCCTTTCATTAGAAATCTCTCACTTGAGTCTTTTTCCTACTAATGCGTGAACTGGAGTTGTTTTAACGTCATGGAGATTAATTTCTCTGAAAGCTCAGGTTTCTGTCCCAGCACTTGCGCCCCACTCTTCCAAGCTGCTCCAAGCATCATGTGCCTGTTAGTCAGTTCTCCACAAAAATACCACAAATCTCATATAGAATACTACTCTTTCCAGCCCCTCTAATTTTGCTTTCTAGGTTCAAGAAGGTACTATATCACACATGTTATTGCAGGGCTTTTTCGGTCCAGCCCCTGTTCCTTAAGGGTTGATCCATAAAAATTTGTCCTTATAACAGCTCTATATGCTACCATGTGTTATTATCCCCAAAATACTGTATTGTGTTGAGGGTAGGCCTCCTTTTTACTCCTCCTGACCCAGTAAAAATCCTTCTGGTGGAGAACTGCACTGTGAATCTCTGGCCCTTCTCTCCTGTCCTTTGGTATGGTTACAGCTGTACAAATCTCACATTTAACTTCTCTGCACTGATTTCACCAGCCCTAATCCCAAAGGATGTAAGAATCAGGATTCATGCAATTAGGAATCATTACAAGTGCCTGTATTGATTTAAGAATTAAACTGACAGTATCTTTGCCAGCTATACATAGATCAGTATTCTTTGAAGCTTTGCATTCTTACTGTTTTGCACATCCCGCAAGAAGGAGCCCCTTTCCTTGGGAAGGACTCTTTGTGGAAGATCCATCGGAGTCCAGGGCTTGAACATGCTTGCAGAACATTATCTCTGAGAAGATTTCAGTCATCTACTTTGGACCACTTGAACCACAAACATTTTAAAAATGTGGCATTTAGGGAAAAGGAAAATATATCTTTGTATTTGATATTACTTTATTATTATAGTATTGCATATATTTCTGGAATCAGACTGCATATATAAGAACAAACGATCATTTTGTTCATTATTAGGAAAGGAAGCATATTCTCTTTTTATCCACTATGCTTTTCATGCAATCTGCAAGTACAAAGAGAACATTCAAGACCTCAGGACAAATATATTCTTCCTTTTCAGTCATACTATTATATTCTTTTGCCTTCTGAAAATAACTTATGCAACTTGTCAAAATCTGCAAGTTCAGAACTATTTCTGAACTTCAAGAATATTTTTAGATCACTCATATACAGCTCACTGAATATCATCTTTGTTTTTGTAGTTTAGGCAACCTTCTTTCTTAAGTCACCATATGTTACCAAAATCTGTGAGTAGTCCCTTGCCTTCCTTCTTTCCCAGGTATCACACGCATAAATGCTCTATTTTGTGTGTCTCAAAATTCTTTGTCCTCTGAGGATTAAGCTCATCAGGCTATCCTCTGAGTATTTCCCTATTTCCTAGTGCCTCTCAGCCTAAATCATTGCCTCCATTTCTCACCCTCTTTCAGGCTCTGTTTGCCTCATGGTGGGTTTGGGTAAGTCTTCCTCAGTCCATCCCTGCTGCATGGTTCCACCAGGGTGAAATCCTGAACTCATCTTTGGGATGGACTGACTCACTGTCCCCTCCAGCGCAGCGTTACCTGTGGCACTATCCCTGGGTACTCATTCTCAGCTCAGGCTTGGGGGATCAGCGCAGGATGTCTTGAGCAGCACTGCAGTGGTGATAGTTCTGCCAGCAGACCTGTGCAATTTGGAAGGAAGAGTCAGGGCTACAACCCCCACATCCTGGGTAAATAGTCCAGCCTTTAAACTGATGGGTGAAGGGAGCAATTGCAACAGCCACTGTGTACTTTGAGTACTTTCCTCTGCTCCCCCTTCTAAACAGCTAAGTGAAAGGTTTTGTTTCAATTAACTTCCTTTCATTTTTGCTCTTGTGAGGAAAATGGAAAAAAAGAGTATCTTGCTTGAGCCGAGAATGCAGCTCACATGTCCAATACCTGCAAGAAGAGAAATGTTCATTAGTGGTGTCAGAGGGAACAATTCTGCATGAGTTACAGAAGGATGAATTGTCTCCCGCCACATTAGATGAGGCACTGCTCTCCTAAACAGCCCTAATCCATGCAGTACCTCAGAATGTCTAAACTCAGTGATCCTTCCGCAGCCCAGCCCACCCTGAAACATTCCTGTGCTGCATACAGACCCCAGGTACCTTGGTGATGGCACTGGCCATCCCTGGCAGGGTGATGTGCTGGCTGGAGCTCCTGGACACCTAACTGCAAGCAGCTTAAGCTGTCTTTGGAGGTGTCACTGCTCTTCACCAGCCAGGTTCTAAAACAATTGTAATTTGGCGAGCTAGATCCCATCTGGGCCAGAGAGGCCCTATGCAGACATGGCCCAGTGAGTTACAGCCATCCTATGAGCCAGCCAGATGCACCACCACAAGCCCTTGCAAGACTCTTTAGCTCAGGCTGGGGAGCTGGGGCACCACAAGCAGCCAGCAGCGAGGTGGGACCATGGGCTATGTATGCTGCAGCTGCCTACAGAGGACCATGGAGTGCTGACAAAGAACACCAAGCAACAAAACCAAAGGCTGGGAAGAGCTTTGCAATACACAAATTATTGTTGAGAAATCTGAGGACATCAGACACAGATACCAAAAGGTCACCCACATCTTCTAATGTACAGACAGCACTGGTTACTTTATTTTGGGGACTGGTTAGTCAACAGGGCATGCTCTCATATAACTCTTTTTCCTGCCTGCTGTCACTGCTATAAAATATTATTTTCTAGTCTAAGCTCCATCCTTCCCCCCCCCCCCCCCCCCCCCGCATCTGGTTTTGTTCCAATTCTATCTATTGTTTTCCTTATGCATGCTGTAATAATAATACTGATATAACCTCCCATACCCCCTGCTAATAAAAGTCAGTGTATGAATTTCACCAAGGGTCAGCACCCTTATTTCTGTTTCACAGTAGCTAAACTGAGCCATGAGGAGATGAAGTGATTTGCTGGAGACCATTGACCAGATCCTTGACAGCTGTGAGACAAGAATCCAGGTCCAATGAGACCTTAATCCTTGCCCTACCCACTTAGAAACTGTTCTTCCTTCCCAACACATGTGCATGCAAACAATGCACCTATTGTGGGAATAGGAAATTAGCCCTGTTTTTTCAGGATGAAGAATCCTTTCACTACTGTTAGCAAAACCTGCCAATTCTGTGGACACAACCATCCCTGGACTGGAGTAATAGCTGCATATATTAACATCAGACACAAATGCCTGCTCACTGAGTGGCACACACACAGCAGGGAACTTGCCACCCAAATTTCATCAGACACAGGCAGATCACACACAGGGCCAGCAAATTGTACATGGGCTTGGGGCTGGCAGAGACCACCACACTTCCCTTCCAGACACAGACTGCATCACCTAGACCTTAGTGCTTCCCACTGGAAGATTCATGCTTCATCTGGTGGACGCCTCCCTTTTCCCTCAGCTCCTCCCTTCTGCCATCAGGAAAGCGGACCCACCTTTCCCACAAGCTTTGCCTGGCAATCTTTCTTTTCCTGCATTGAGGCTTTACGGAACTGCAGGATTGGCCCAGGAGGGAGAAAGGGAGCCCACAGTGACCCATGCAGCCCACATCTTCCCAGGCTCAGCCACGCAGCGCAAAGAGTTAAAAAATGATGAGGAATTTCTCTGTGAGCCACAGAAAGGACTAAGAAAACGGAAACTGGCCTGAATTTAAACTGAAGGACCCCATTCTTCTGCCAAACCACTCAGTTCCTTAATCAACTGGGGCCTTGTTTCACGGTCAGTCATCAGAGGCTTTAGAAAGTCATTCAGACAAATCTGTAGTGGGGGAGCCACAAAGGATGTCTTTTCTGTGGCACTCTCTACCTAGAATATGTAATGCTTGGGGACAGGCCTGTCCTCAGTGGTGCTTCTATACCACTGGAGCACAATATACAATGATGCTATAGGATACTTGTATTGCTGAGCTCCTGCTTATTTAAATAAGCATTTAATTAAGGCAAGTCCTGTAGAAAATTGAGCAACGAGCTTTCCCAATGGTACTTCTCCTCCTCCCCAAAATAAAATCTCTGTTGGAATTAGGAGTGGGTTTCAGAAGCACTGCAGTCTGCTCCAAATCAGCCTCCTCTTTCTCTCATTAGCCCTGCAGTCCTGTCACTTACTAGATTTCTAGCTTCTAAGGAAACACTTCTCTTTTTTTTTTAGCTCAATTTAGTAATGCTTTCAATGATTTCTGATAACTGCACTTTTATTACTCATTATTATAGAGTCAGGAGAAAAAAAAAATCCCACATAATAGCAGATATCTGATTATTCTGGGAAACTTTGAAGTTCCCTTCTGCAGTGGTATTCTTTGATGTTCCTATTAAATAAATAATGATTTTTACATCTAAGGGTTATCTTACAGTGCAAAATACACCATGATCCTCAGTGTAAAAAAATCTTTTCATTGTTAGCCACAATAAACATCAGGGGAAGCTGTGATTCTGGAGTGCTTGAAGCTGACCTGCCCAGATATGGGGCAATATATTTTTTTCACATCAACTGTGTGTGAAGGAGAAACCAGTGCTGCAGACAGAGGTATTGCAACAGAGAGAGGAAAGGAAGATGTTAGATCAAAACAGAAGAGGCACACAGGCAAAAAGAAACTAGCAGATGCTCTAAAGGCAGAAAAGCATCAGATTAGAAAGAGTATGAGTCTTTTCATAAGGTTTTCAGTCCCAGCCTTGGGCTCTTTGTATGACAGTGGGAAATAGGATGACATTTCTGGAACTGTGCTGACTTAAAAATAATAACAATAAAAGGTCAGAATTTACTGTAGAAGGAACTCGTTAAAAGACTTCAGCAATGGTACATGCAGTAGGTGTTGTGTAGAGCAGGCCACCTAAATTAATTTATTCTATTTTGGTACCTGTGCAGCCCTCTCTTAGGTCAGGTCTTGTGGTCTGTGCTGTTCGCTTGCTCCCGTCACTGTCCATGGCAAGTGGCAGAGGTAGGGGCAAGCTGACCAGGCTGTGCACCCCTGAGCTCTGACAGAGAAGCTACTGTAGAGCCCATGGGCTTAAATCGGAAGGTGTGTTGTCTGGGCAGCTGCTAAATCTCTCTTCCTCATCTGACTTTCACCCACAACATGCTGGCATGGGGAAGCCACACTTCTGCACATAAGCCTTGCAAATCCCACATGCGTGCTGGTTTGGGTGCCTGGTGCTGGGCTGTGGACATGACATTCCTCCTGGAAATGCATAAGGCTCCCAGTCCTCCTGCCTGAGGTGGGCGCTTACCCAGCTAAAGCCTTTACTTGTGCATGTCAGAAAACACCTCCAGCAGCACCCACTCTGTGAGCTGTGCAAGGAGGAGGATGGCTGGGATTCACAACAATACTGCAGGCAAGAGAATACAGCAGCAAAACACCAACACAGAGCATAGAGAGAACAGAAGGAGCAGGACAGAGAAGCAGAAGCTGGAAGGAGTGCTCCCATATTTTTTCCTGCCTTTATCCCCACTTTTATGTCCTGATTTCTATGAGGTTTTTTGGTTTTTGTTTTTTTTTTTCCATTACAGATAAAAGCCAGAAGTCTTCTCCATCCTTCCCACAGCTACCAAATATTTTTCACACTCCAGGAATGGCGCGCCTTTCACTTCCTTCCTTATCCCTCACTTTCAGCTCCCACCTGCACCTCCCAAAACCTCCCTGAGCCACTGCTCTTCCCAGCAGTCCTGTAACACTTTTTGCTAGCACTCTGCAACTATACTCATCTGACAATGCTGGAAGAAGTAATACCACAGGCTTCTTGATGCAGAGACTCAATCTCATGCTCAGAAGGAAAGCCCCCATGCAACAGTTTGCTGGAGGCTGGGAACTTACCCCATCAGTACGCTGCTCTTCCAAATGTCCATTTGCAGAAATCAGAGGTGATCATCCTGGGAAGGGTTTGCATCTGAAATGGAAAAGTTGTGTTTAAAATAAAAGCATAAGAAGAGCAGCAATGAGAGGGTGTTTATTTTGGATGCCAGTGGGAGTAGATGATACCATGGCTGTATTCCTATGTGAGCACTGTGCAACCACATGCACTGTTCAAACCTTGTCCCATCCCTGTCCCAGAAACCCTTCCATCCCCTCCATTAGCTCCTGAACAGGAGCAAACATTAGTAAAGTGAATTGGAGAGAGCTGTGACCTGTAGTAAAGTGAACGGGAGAGAGGGCATTTATCTAGAAACCAGAGCTCCTTCCCGGCCTTTAGACTGTTGACCTGCATTTATGTATCAGCCAACTCCATCAAACCACCTTTGGCTGACTAACTTCTTCCAAAGGACATTTCCAAAAGAAGGCTCCTTTGTTGCAGTCCTGCTCACTGGAGCTTGGTACAAGGCTCTAGGTTTTGTGTGGCTTCTACCTGAGGTAGCTAAGAGGCATTTCCAGTGGTTTTCTGTTTTTCAGTCTCCTGAGCTGCTGAAACCAGTTCATCCCAAAGTATTATTCAGATTGGTTTTCCTGTAGTCCAGTTTCCTTTTACTTAAGCCAGTCTAAGTGAAGGCTACCAAAGAGAGTAGTATTTTTCCCTCTGTCTTACCAGACAGGGCCTCCTCAGTCAGATTGTCATATGCATAGTTATGGCCCAACACAAACTGAACCTACAACACACAGAATGTCAGCTGATTTGTACTGGATGAACAACATGATCCAATTCAGCCCACGGCTCCAGGATACCCAGAGGCAAAAGGAGGGAGAGGGCAGGAATGCATATATGGGATGTGGACAGGCCACCTCTGTTGGAAGCAGCTTGCGTTTAAATAGGGTTAAGCATTTCATGAACCTACACCCTTAGTTACACTGGATTTAGCTTCCAGGCCCTTCTTAGTCACCACAGTTTACAGTATCCCTCCCAGAGGCTAGTCCACCAACTGTACCACACAGCACATCATCCTCTCCTGCACTGCTGCTCTTTGTGTAGCCTGTAAGCTGGACGCAGGGGTTTCTGCACATCAGCACCACTAGCTTTTGACCAGGCAGGGAAGGCCAGAGCTGTACTTGCTGTGAAAGACCCTTTCAATGCTCCTTTCATCTACTTAGGATGCAGTAGTCCAGAGAAACCTTAGGCTTGGGGTCTGTCCATGTTACAGCATAGCAGCTATGCCCAGACACAGGGAGGAGTATTCGGACAGGATGACACACTGCTGCTGCCCATCCGTCAACAATCAGCAGTTTCAGACAAATGTGTTTAGCATCTCATGAGCATGCTGTGATCAAATCCTGGGCAGCTCAAAAAGCCGCAGGCAGGTAAATTAACAGAGGACAAACATTAGCTCCAGTATATGTGGCTTGCCAAACTGCAGTTGGTTTTATGTCCTCATGAGCTGAATTCAAACATGACAGCAGTTCCTAATACAACAGGAGACAAAAAAGCCCTAAACCCAGCACCATAGGTACAGCAACTTCTGCTGCCTAAGATAAGCTAATTGAAATTACACAAGAGGAAGGGGGTGGCAGTATTCAACTTCCACCTTTTCCCAACTTCTGCAGTTTTTCCAGGGAGAGTGTTGGTCTGCTTAAGAAATATCACCTCGTGTAGGTTCACTTAGCGAAAGTGCTTATAGGAACTTTTAGGAAGTAACCATGGACTGCATACATGGTTCTCTGCCCAAAGCCAGCCTTGCTTCTTTTTCCTTATGTCTGTGGCGAAGCCATTGCACAGGGCATGGTACCACTGTCCCAGTTCAATAAAAATCATGAGCATGCCTATAGCTTTATCCAGTTGCTTAGGCTGCAGTTCCATCACTGGTTAAGTGAACTTAAAGTTGTGTCACTCTGGTCTTCTTCTTTCCCTTACACTGGCTGCATGTCCCCATCTCTCTCCTTTGCATCACCAGTGGCATTTATCTGACCCCTGGAGCTGAGTGGAGCTCCAGAATCCAATCTGTCAGAAAACTAACTCCACAAGAAAAATGAATATTTTTTTGCTAGTTTAGAGTACCATAAAACCACATCCATAAAACCGTGACTGATCTGAGCCCTTCATAAGACAATTTCAATGGGCAAGTTATTGTAAATTTAGGCTTCTCTTGCATTTAGCATTCTGCAATATGTCAGATAGATTTCAGAACCATAGACAATTAAATTTCGGAAAACATGAGTAACTACAGACCTCCTTCTCCAGAAAGTCTTTCTTTCCTGACTCTTGGGGAAAAAAATGTAACTGTGTTTCCAGCAATTTCTTTTTTAAAGCATTTTCAGAAAACAAAAAGCTTACAAGATTATGGGGAAAAAAAAAAAGAAAAAGGAAAGAAAAACCTTTTTAGTTGAAGAAGCAAAAATCTTGAATAATTTCTCGCAGTCTTTTACTGGAATCCAATAAACACATTGCCAAATTACACTGTATATTTTACTAGGCTAAGATATATTTGTGTGTATTAGAGGCACAGCATGAAGAAAAAAAATAAAAAATATTAGCCTCCTTCATATAACTCAGTAGAGTTATAAAATATCTAATTGAATAAACTCCATTTGACATGAGCAAATGGCGACATTTCCATGCAGTGTTGTCTTTTTTGGCTTCCTGACAAAGAAAAGCTTAAGGAACCATGATTTTTGTTTCCTAAGGGCAAGTTCTTCTATTTTTATAAACTCAGCAATCAATATTAAAGTATGAGCATATGCACTTTAAATTTATGAACTGTATACTTTCAGTGAGTTTAATAGTTTAATCTTATGCATGTTGTTATAAGAGTGAGGGTTTTTGCTCTACTGCTTAAGATTGTCTAATGGAAAATATTGCATTAAGGCATAAAAGCAGCCGTATATGTAGACAACCAGAAAAGGAATAATTAAGACACAGCAAAATTAATACTATGCTGATTTCTTGTAAGCAGAAGAGCACCATTAACTTGAAGGAAAACACAACCCCAACAGGGAGCCTGCACTGATGTCACCCATAGACAAAAGGCCCCCAGAAGATGTGAAAATCCTCTCTGTGGTTACTTAGATGAACAGGCTTCTTCCTCCCTGGCAGACACTTGGCACTTTTCTTTGTCCCTTAAAAAGTATAGCTCAGCACTCCTGAGTTTTGATATTTGGCTCAGGTGTAGTTTTGTTCCCAGTTCCCAGCTCTGATGATGTGGTTTGTCCAACATGTTTCCTACAAAGCACCTCTCCAGCACCTGTGTTTGAATTGACTGGCGGATCTGCCAGTTTGCACGAAGCTGGGAGTCAGGAGGGGTTGCATGTTTAAATTGACCAAAAAGGACTTACTACTAATACTTGTCTATGAAAATATCACTGCTATTCATCTCAGAGAATAAGGACTAGACTTTCATGAGACTAGCTGTGGAGTGAATCACTGCTGTCCATTATTCACAGCAGAAATATAATGTGACCTGCTGTTAGCATTAGGGAGAGGGTGCCTTTTCCCACCAAACTCATGTTCAGATCTGATAAGGATTTTTCACAATGAGTATTTATCATGTAGAAAGCAGGCTCTTTCACTTTGTAATATTGATGTCAGTCACAGATGGGCTGCTGGTTGCCATGTGGATGATAATGCTCCAGGGAGTTTCAGTTAATATTAAATGGAAAGTGCTCGATTTGCATGTCTCTCTAGAAACGGCACAAAAACCATCTTGAGAATCAATATTGATAATACTCTGAATGTGAAGCAAAAAATAAGCGCACACAGCAACAAGGAGCGCATGTCACATGGTGACTGCTATAGCTGTTAAAAGACTGCAATCTCTTGCAATAGGAAAAGCAGGACATTTAAAAGAAGACAAAATTCAAATTTGGCCTATGCAGCTTTGCCAAAAATAACATCAGAGCCAATTCTTCATAACTGCATTCTAATTAAGACTGTGCATTAATTAATGGATTGCAGAACATCTGTATGCCACCACAAACTTGCCAAATGCATGTCCCAGTGTAGGTGAGCACCATGTGCGAGAAGAGCACCCAAAAAAAGCAGGCAGACCCAGACCAGCTGAGCTGTAGGTCATGTCCTAGGAGTGTTCAGGGGCTTGGAAGAGACCTCTCACCACCCTTTGGCAAGGGAACACAGGGCTGAGGCAAGCCCACGCTTGCATTGTTGGATGTGGGCCTTCTTGTTCTTTTTGGCCTATGGAAACGCAGCGAGACAAAGCAGCCAGCGAGGAGGTTTGTTTCGTAATTCTAACTCTCAACCCAAATCACACACAAAAAAGAAAAGTGATATTTGCTTCCCCAGCTGCTTCAGGCTAGGATCAAGTGCTCATGACCATGTGGATCTAATGGCTCACATGGCTCTTACCTTTCTCAAAGAAGTCTAACTTCTCAACCTGCTTATGCAGTCAGTAATTCATGAAAAATCATATCACCTGAAGAACAAGTACACCAGCCAAACTGACCTCTCTGATAGCCTGCTGTATCTCAGTGTCAGCTTTCTTACTTCTATTTATGGGGGAAATACAAGATTTTCAGGAAAGCATACGTACGGTGTATTTCTTACCCCGTTTTATGTTACCAGTAGCCTGACCGCTGCTGAATATTCAGCTAAAATAGATTAAATCAACCCATAAAAACAGAAGATGATTCAAATCAAGACATGGCATTGAAGACCAGGCAAGTGTGGAGCCCTACACACCCTCTGTAGGTGAGTCTCATCACACAAGCAGGATTCTCGTCTATTTGGTTAAACAAGAGTGTGTGTGTATGCACAAGAGAAAAAAAACACCTTTACTGGGTTCTGAAAAAAATTAAAGCAAGCAAAACCCACAGCAGACAGAGCTATGAAAGACACCCTGTGGCTGGTTTGGAATTTGAACCAAGGGAAAGGCATTTTCCCCTTAGCTCCTCAATGATTGCACACAGTGTTCATCCAAGCAGAGCCCAACTTATGTCCTAAACTTGTCAGTGAAGGACAACATTGAGATTTTGGACACAGGGGAAAGACTGAACACGTGCAAAAACACCAAATAACTGTCGATGCTGGGTAAATCCTGATTCAGAGCTACTGGTAAGCCATAGTAATTCCATTGACCTGGATCCAGCTCCACTCCTTCAGCTCAGGCTGGAGTCAGGCAGCCTGCTCATTTCCTGAGGAGTAGGGCAGCATCTTCACTATCCACATGCACACTGAAGAGAAGGGTATCATAAACTGGAATGCAGAAACAATTTGTGCATCAATTAGTAGAATGAAGGAAAACAGCACATGAGTAATTGGAGTCTCAGGGAAGGGAAAACAGAGAACAATACTGGCAAAGCCGAAGTAAAATACAAATGGGAGTGCTTGTGTCTTCCTTCATCCACAGCCTCAGCTCTCCAGCCTGCTTACACAGGCTTGCCCCTCAGTACATCAAGTAACTTCTCTGCATGAGAGGAGAAAAATCATATGCTCAGCTCAATATCTCATGATTTAATACCCAAGAAATTTGCTTAATTTTTAACTTTTTTATAGTGTGCTATTTCAGCTGGACCAGATAATTTGTTTTAAAACGATCATCCCAGGTTTACCTTTTCTAACAATAGTGAAGTGGTTATGGATACAAATTATCTATCACATTATAGTTGTTGCCATGGAAATAAACTGCCATGTTATAAGCACAAATAGAGCCTGATAAAAAGGAAGATGTGGCAGCCATGGCTTTAAGGAAGTGCTTTTTCCGTGATAAATGATGAACCAATTCCTCCAAACCTCCTGAACTACAGGAGGTAATGCAGCAGCTCTGGCTTGCATTGTTATAGAACTGTGCATAATGTTTCAAATCACTTTGGCAACAGAGGGTGCTCGTACTTGATGGCTTGAGGTTAAATGGTAGTTTTGTCATACTGGGAACTCAGCTGGGACTTTCTGACGAATCTCTGCATTATAGCCTGTTCCTCTGAACTACAATCCCAGGAGCACATCCTTGCCAAAAAGAAGTCTCTTTTCGTAGCAATAATATACATGCATGAGCACGACTAAGATACTTTGTAGCAGACCCATCCTTTCAGAAACTCCCCTTAGGCAAGAGGATTTCTCCGCTGGCCTTACGGTTTGCGACTGTAGCGATGTGATGCCACAGAAAGCTAGAAGGGCGTCAAAGTCTGCTGTGACCTAGGGGCCTGTTATAAAAGTGAGAAAAGGGAAAAGAAAGGGGAAAGGAAAAAGAAAAGAACCTGTGTGGTTTTGTTATTCTTGCATGGTCAAGGCAAAAAGCACATGGCCAAAAAAACCTCACTTGCAATCAATTAACAGATTTTGAGAACAGCTATCTCCTAATCTTGCTCAGAGGATTCAATAGGCCATTAGTAATACCCCAACCCAACTGGCTCATACAAGCCCCAGTCTCATGCATGCTGTGTGTGGAGCCACCAGAGAGCACATGCTGGGGAGAGACCTCCTTGGTACTCAGGTTGAAGACATGGGTACTATGTATGTACAGAAAACAATATTGGCTGCAGAGAAACCCTGACACCCATATGTGCTGGTTTGCATCTTGTGAAGTCTGATTCCAGGGCACGGGGCAGTAAGAAGCTGTGGTTGGAGCTACTGTCCTGTGCTGCATGTTCACAGTGTGAAATAGGTACCTGAAATTTCCAAAGAGCACGTCTGTGCCAGGAAGGGGATGTGGAAGTGGAACAAGAGAGAACCAAGCCCACCACTCTCACCATAAGCATGTTCCATCAGTTAACAGAGAAGAGGCACAAATGAGGCTGAAATAAAGCGCCTCGTTATTTTTTATTTTCTAACCTGCTTTTCCAGCACCTCCAGAAGAATCAGAGATGAGGCTGTGTGCATCCCTGCCTTACTTGATCCTAACACACCCTCGCCTGTTGGGGCTCTGCCTTGGCTGGGCAAGGCTGCAAGTCATCAGCCCTGGCATCTGCCTGTGCCCTACCTGTGTGGGCGCTGGGCTGCCAGCCAGCCCCAGTGACCAACCACCTCCTGGGGAAACAGCCTCCTTGGAAGGTGCATGGGCAGGCACGGCAGGGCAGAGCCAGCAGGCTGGGCTGAACCTACCCTCCATGCACGTCGGTGGCCGGTGGCCAGTGGCCGTCAGGAACGGAACATCCAGAGGACACAGCAGCAAGCTGTGGGCACGGCCAGAGCCCACCCTCCGTCTGCTCTGCGGGTACAAGCAAACTTTGCTTTTGCAGTCTCAGGCCAACTCGTGTCACAAACAGTCAATTAGCTTTTTAAAAGTCAAACAAACAAACAGAGCAGGAGATTATAACTGATTAACTGAAGGGCAGGAAACATGAGAAGCTGGTTTGCTAGAAAGGAAAGCTCTTGTGCTGAGATCTCCAGTAATTAGCAGCAACAAGACCTACAGAAATTTATGAGGGAAAAAAAAATAGCAAACCCTTCCTGTTTGAATGTTCTCTTTTCACATGTTTTGCTTGGAAGACTAGCTTTAAATACAAACACAGACTGGGTCTCAAATACAGAAGAGATTCATGCTCTGCAAAAGTCATATGCTCAGATTGCAAATCAAATGAACTTGGGTCAGTGCAAGCTTCCTCCTCCCCAATCTCCCCCCTCCCAAAAAACTTCTACCTTGTTAACAACTGTCAGATTGACAGCTCTATACTTTTCTCCAAGCACCTGGAAGGCAATTTGGTTACTGCTGGCAAATGCTTTAGGTCCTCCTTGGAACACAATTGTAGACCAAAGCCGCTAGAGAGTAAAGGGCAGACTTCCTTAGCCGCTGCTGCACGGTGTGATTCGGTAATAATTTAGCAATCTCAGTGCAGCAATGGCTTATGTGCCCTGCTTATCAGTTTGCAGCGGAGCTGCTGTTGATTGTGCAGAAACCTACCTGCTTTCATTATTCCCTTGAAGAAGTATTCTTCACCTGGCTCATGGAGCAGCGCAGAGTCTCCCTGATTCACATAATGAGATCCCCAGGCAGAGCTGAAACCCTGACCTAGATTTCAATGGCTCTCCAAGCTGCGTTTATGCACCTTCAGCATGGTTGTGTTTACTCTTTTAAATTGCAGATAAACTGCAAATTAAAGAGAACCATGGGTCTTGTCTTATTTATTTATTTATTTAGTTTATTTTTCCAGTTTAAACGCATTCATCTCTGCTTTGTTGTCCTGGCTTTGCCTTTCTTTGGCTTCATTGGATAGTTCAGAAGAAAGCTTGAAACAAAATGAAGACTTACTCAAATAGATAGCAATAGCATACACTTGGAAAAACAACACTAGCAGATCAGCAGTGATTTCATTGGGAAGGAGGACGGCAGGTCTGATCCTGACTGAACACACAGAGTTTGTTAGTGTTGGGTTATTCTGCATTATTGTGTGGGAAGGTCCCAGGAGCAAGTACAGCTCCAGGGATGCAGGCCTCTGTGCGTTGTTGAGGATGGTGTTCAAACTCCACTACCAATGGAGAGGATCATTATTCCATTTCCCTGGTAGCAAATTGCAAGGAAAACTCAAGCTAAATCTGCACATTGATACGAAGGAACACAGAGAGCAAGAGGTGGTTCTCAAGAGTTATTTGGCTAATATCATCACTCATCACCACCGGGGTGTCCAGCCCCTCTCCCATGCAGGATTATCACTTAGGTGTTCGGACCTAACTTCCAGAAATCCCTAGCAGTGCTCAGACTCTTCTGCAGCTGAGACCAGTGGCAGCAGGATTAGGCCACCAAGAGGATTCTGAAAACCCCTCACACACAGAGCAGCCCTCCTTCCCCTTCCAAAATCCATCATGACATGGGGAAGAAAATACCCAAAGCTTGACCACCTTCCATTACAGCACGGGATTGCCATTCTCTGTGTGCACATCCTCACCACAGAAGCTGATGAGGTGATTAGCAACCATTAATGTCCTGTGGGAAACCAGGGGGGGTCCCAGATTTCCTTTGCTAACTTACCACTACTGGAAAGCACAGAGTTCTTTTCCCAGTCAGAGATGCAGGAAGTGGAATTTGTCTCCTTGAGCAGACATCTTCTACCTTCTAAAAACCTGCCTGTGGACACACTGGAGGTCCCTGGATGAGGCCGCTCCAGAGCAGGGCTGGTGTGAGTAGTGGGTATGTGCTCTGTGGAGCCTGCTGAAGCCTTGCTCACATTAAAAAGCAAATGAGTGGGTGACAATTAAAGTGTTGCATATTTTTGCCTAAAAATAGCTCTCCCACAATCTCACCCCACTTATTTCAGCACAGCACTGAGCTGCCATTAATTTACACTTACCAGAAAAGAGAAGGAATTATAATGGTTTACTTCCTTACATAAATATTCTCTATTTTAGTGCCTGACGTTGTGGAATCTCTTTGCAGCCCAACTCAGAGGTCCCAGCGAGGGCTGATGGTACTTGCAATAGTAAAAACACACTTTCAAAACCATTTTTAGAAATCCCTGTCAGTGTCTGGATATCTACAGAGCTGTGAAAGTCCAGCTGCCCCAGAAGAGCTGTCAACAAACAGGAGCTTCCCAGCAGCCAGCCCTGTAAGGTAGAGGCACAGGTCTCCACTGCAGGCACAGGTGGAAGGCAGGGAAGAGCTCTGCCCTTCTGAGCCCATCAGTTTACACTTTGATTAATCTTGCTGAGAACAAAGTAACCACAACAAAACCAAACCTGAACTATGCAACAGGACTGAGAGGTGGAAAAGAGTGGTAGAATCAAGGCCCTTTCTGCACTCAGAGTGAGACAGGGTTTGAAGAGTTTTTAAGACTGAGAAGGGAATGTAGCTCCGCACTGAACGTGTGGGAAGCTGGAGACAAAGTCTGAACAGTCTTCTTTAAATCAAGGACTTTCTTTTCACCTCTGCTTTTGCTTTGTGATAGGTACCACAGTCCTTCCCCCTCAACTGCTCTTTGTGCACACCAACAGAGTCTGTGGAGCTGAATTCTGCACCACCCTGCTCCCAGTGCCTCAAAGAGCCATGCTTATGCCCAGGAGCTAAATCTGAAATAAAGCCCTGCCCTTCATGATGGGAAGTGTGACAATCGATCCTTAGGTGAGCAGGAGTCCTCTTCCCATCCCCGCTGTGGTCTGTACCCTCCTGAGCTGCTCTGTCCTGGGGCTTTCAACCACACGGCTATTCAGCAGGTCAGAGCCCTCTCTCACCAGGCCAAAAGTTACCCCACAACAAAATGCTTTGCAGTGACACTGGCAGAGATAGGGAGCCAGCCTCCTCCCTTCACAACATGCAGCTCTGGCAGACAAAGCAAATCCCTAAAGCATTCTCTGCTGCACGAAATGCTGTAAGCCAGCTGTGAAGCCACCTCCTCACTGGCATGGTACCCCACACCAAAGACAGAGCCTACCTCTCAGGCTGACAGCCGGCCAAAAGAAGAGTAGAAAAAATTTGTCCAAGAAGTGACATTAGCTTTTCTTTCAATGGTTCACTGAGCAAACGTTTGGAAACTAGTCCCTGTAATGAGATGGGTATTACATTGCTGTTGTGCACCTGGGGCTGTCTACTCTGACCGTTTTCCCCACAGGTACGCTCATGACACTACTCAAAGCCTATTGCTGGCCCTGCTCATGCAGCCTGAACACTGCACTGCTGTTTTCAGTCAGGGCTTTTGATAACCGTTTTGCAGGTAGAAGTCGCTGTCCCTCAAGCGCTTGCACCAGTAGCCTCTTCCGTTCATCGTTAATCTTCAAAACACAAGTTGGTTAAATGAGAAAATCTAGTCTTTTCCAGCCACCCTGATAGCACTGTCATGCCCTGTTGTGATGGCCATGACTGCCCATTAAGTCTCCCAGTTTGGGCTTATCTGCACTGGTGTGACCATTTGGTGCATTACCCACCCCATCTCGCTCTCATCTCCAGTCTGTTCCTCTGCGCCTCCATATGGCACAAACCAGGGCTGTGATGCGGATTAGAAGAGCTTTATAATTTATCTTGTTTGATTTAGATCTTCAAAGCTCTCTGAAAAAATTTAAATCTGTATTTTGGGAGAGAAAAAAAAAGTACATTTTTGAAACAGCTCCTGTTTAAGCACATGAGACAAAAGACAAGGAAATGGAAAGCCAGAGTGACCAGCAAGGTGTGGAAGCCCTTTTTCCCTCTTTTGTTGAGTGGCTGGGGCCGTCACTGCTGGCACAGTGGGCAGCACTGCAGGGTTGACCCTACCTGGTAATTACAGGCATGGTCCAAGTGAAGGACCAGGCTGTTCCCTAGACAGCTCTGGCAGGAGCAGCTTGTCTTCAGGTGATTAGAGAAAAGAGTGAAAGGATGATGAAAGCAGTGAGCAGCGGATGTGCCCACCTGGCTGTGAGGTGAGAGGCTGGAGGAGTCCCTACCTGTTTGAGACTGTTGTGGCTCCCTGGGCAATGCGAATGCACTTTGGGCTTGTTTACTGCCCACATTTTGTGATGTGTCCCTGGGAAGATAAGTGACCTGTATAAATACAGATTAATGCAGTGAAAAAGATTTGGATGCTTAAATGGGTAGCTTTTAGAAGAGATAGCTGCTGCAGGACCCCACTGCCTCAAAAAAGGAGGAGAGAGGGATTCAGGAAAGGTTATTCCCTGCCCGTGTGTTCCCATCAGACATACAGAGTGCCTTTTATTTATTTATTTCGAAACAGCACTGGAGAACCACGAGACCAGTAATGACCTTAATGAGCTAAAACTGCTGACCAGGACTTTGCTGTATTTAATTAAGACTCAGGTACACTCATAGCATTAGCAAGGCAATGACAGGGAGCAGTGTGCAGCACTCTGGCAGCTCCCCATGAAGGACCTACTCTCAGTCCATCACCTCTTCCAGAGGAAGACCTCTGTGCCAGGAGCTTTCCCTTGGCCAGGTGGCACTGCTGGCCATCCGTAGCCAGTCCCCTATCCCAGCAGGACTGCGCACCCTCCCCAGTCTTGCATGTCCACAGGAGGGAACCCCAGCCTTCAAATTAGCAATGCCTGAGAAATTAGCGATATGAATAGACAACAACCTACCAACCAGCAGCACTGGTGGATGCCCTAGAGGTGGTATGGGTTCTTTTATGTTCTTCTAAATTAGATTCACAGAAATTCGTTTGATGATGCCAATACTGCAGGCCCAGGAGTGCTACATCATCCTTTGTGGGCGCATAAATACGTGTTTCATTTTGTCACATTTAGTATCGGCGATGATTTCACACACAGCTGTAGATCACCTCCCATTTGATCACAATCTGCCACACTTTTCTAGCCATTCAAATTTATAGCAACACTAATAGTTCGAAAATAATGGTGTTTACTGTATACTAGATTTCTATAAATTAGGAGGAAGCAAGAGATCCTAACAAAGACCTCAGAAAGCAACAAAGCTGGACTGAATGTCAGCTTTTTCACCCCGATTAACACATCCTTGTCTATTGGCAAAAAGTTTCCATTGCAGCTGTGAGAAAATAATGCCATGGATTATGTCACGTCGATTCAAAGTGAAATTCAAAGCCAAAGAGAAAGCAGAAAAGCATTCCCCACGTTCTCACAGAAAATATCACTGCCTCAATTAGGTGCTACAGATGCTTGGAGTAAACATATTTTCCACCAGTTTTCTTAGAATCGTACCCACTTAAATCTCCAGTATTCTTCTACATGTTCATTTTTCACCCCAGTTTAATACCACGCCTCTGGGTGTTGGTGGTTAAGGGGATACTGCCAAGCAAGGAAAGCCAAGAAAAGCTGGGATAAGAAGGGAAAATATGGCTTTTTAATAGTAAATAAACTTCTCAGCCTTAATGGTATGGCTGCTGTCAGCATAACTCAGAGGAGGGAAAAAAAAAAAATCTCAGTGCCAGTTGTACCTTTCATTTCTTGGACCATGTGAATGCCCAATTCTCCAGTTTTCAATCTGCTTCCAATCCAATGGAAATAATGCACACAACTGAGCATTCAAACCTGTAATAAATCTCATCTTTATGTGGAATTGCTGGGATCCAGAATGGAAACAAAACTAGACAACACTTTTCAATATTTCAGTAAATATCAACTTCTTTCCAGTAAAAATTTGAGTTCCAGGGAATCAAAATATGCTGTTGATATAGCTAGCACATAGCTGTAAGGTCAAAATTGAGACATCAAGTATCTGGAAGTAGCAAAAAGCTGCCAGCCAGAGTAAACTGGGAGCATCCCAAACATGAATGTCCTAGAAGATAAAAACCTCCTCACCTACAAAACTCCTTCCCAGCAGTGCTGATGGTTGGGGTAGCCCAGAGGTGGGAATGACGATGGAGCAGCAGATTCCTCCCTGGCTGCAGCATCACCTTCCATTGCACCTGTGATGGGAAGCTGGAACTGAGGCTCTACTTCTGCTCACTGCTAGAGTGGATTCAACTTAGTCCGCTCAGTGCTCAGCTTGGTGGTGCACATGCAGCCAAGTCCCCCTGAATGTGCCATGCTGTTTTCCACATACACCAACAGAAAGTTACTATTATCTATACCCTTCCTTTGCAAAAGTGGCAGGGGAGGAAGAGGGGAAGAAATCACCTGTTTTAGAGGCACTACAAAGCAGCTTACTTTAGAGCTAAAAATTTCTGGCAGATGGTACCCAACATCTGGGAGAATGTTAATGTCCAGATATAAAATTTGGTTTCCTTATTTGTCTTTATTGGGATAGTACTTGGCTACAGTGTGTTGTGATAAGATCTATTTCCTATGCCTGTCTCTTAAATTTAAACCTCAAAGCCATGTTTATAAACATTGCAACCTATCAGTTATTACTGTAGTTCAGGGCTGAATTCAGATCAGTGATGGTATGCATAAATTTGTCACGTAGAAGCATATCTGCAATGCTTCCTCAAACAAACTTCCAAGAACGATTTTTTTTTAAAGAGATGGCTGAAAAGAACAAAAAAATAGATTATATTAGCATATCCCAGGAAAACAAATGGTTTGACCTTGTAGGAATAAAAGTAGGAACAGCTCCATTAATCACTTAACCCACAAAGGTTCACTGTTTTGAGAGCAGGAATCATCCCACTTTATTCATCGTTGACAGCAGCAGGCACAGCAGGGAGCACAAGCCACAGCAAACACTCCTAAGCCCTGCAATAACTCCGCACAACAGCCATTCCCAAGACACAGACTTTGCCTGATGAAGCATGGGAAGGCTGCCGAATCAGAGTTCCTTGAGCCTCTCCCAGCCGGTCACCAGGGAGCTGTGAGTGCTCCACTGAGCAGCAGACCTGAGGGTGATGCTGGGCTCCTGTCTAGGAGCCTTGCCCACCCCAGCATGTCAGGGCTTGCTGGGGTGCAGCAGCACAGCATGCTTTCCATTCACACCTTGCCCTTTCCTGCAATTAGCTCTGGTTTTGGAGTCAGTGGAGAAATCTGGGTTTCCCTCTTCTGACTGCTGCTGTGGCTCCCCCCAGCCCTGCCAGGGATGCCATGCAGATTTTGCTTTCCATCAACCATGCAGGAAAACCATGGGTCCTCTCTGTTTAGGATAGCAGATCAAGCCTGTTCCCAGCTGAAATGCTGCAGGAGAAAACAACAGTCAAAGTAAAAATAGCTTCTTCCCAGTGCTGCGCTGAGAGCCCTTTGTGCCAGCTTTCCAGGGGCTGAGGAAAGAGAGCAGCTCTATTAGCTCTCTAAATTAACAGCTAGGGTACCAAGGGCTATCTACAACAGCTGCACACCTGAAAAGCCTGGAAAAATATTCCCATCAGAGGCATGGGAGTAAGAGACCTGGAGACATGTGTCTTTTAAAGGCTGTATCTCTCCTAACATCTCTTTCTTCTTCTACCATAAACACGAGCAAGAGCAGACAGGCAAGGGAAGGATGCTGGCAAACACAGCCTGCCACAGAGCCTGTGGATAGCCCAGCTGTTACCAGCAACATAGATGGAATGGGAATATTTTCTACAAACCAAGTAAAATCTAATGGTAACAGTTTCGAGAGCCCAAGCCCCTTCGCAGTGCATTAGCAGTTATTACTCCAGTCTTTCACCTCCCTCACCACTACACCTAGCTCCCAAGGTCACTGTGGAGAGACAGCATCACTCCCGTGCACAGCCTGCCCAAGATGGTGCTCATTGTGAAGAGGCTGCAGGCTTCTTCCCTTCCAGCATCAACCAGGGTGTATCCTGGAGGCCCTTCCTTCCCTTCCTTAGCCTGGCTGCTGGGCTGGCTCCACCTGCCTCACCCCTGGCTAGTGTCCAGCTTCAGCTTCCGGATTTGGGTGGCAAGGGATAGTCAGACACAGAAAGGCTAATGAAAACCAGGCCAACATTCATTCCAAAGCATTTGGAAACCAAGTTGCTGCGCTGTATACATAACTTTGGACACCTCAGTTTGAAAGGGTTAATTTACCAAGTTATTTCCTCATTCTACTGCTAATTCACCAATATTAAATAGACTATTAATGCTTAAACTATAGATAAAAGCAATCCCCAAAAGCAAAAATGATTCACCCTGCATGAAATGCTAGCAGGTTAACTGAAGTAAGGACTCCACCAGTAGAGCCCTGGCTCTGTTATCAGCATCTCAGTGAAGGACAAGTGCAACTAGTGAAAGCTGGGCACTAAAAGCAGCACAGCATCCAACAGCCTTCACCCACTTGTACGACACCTTCTTACAAGGGCAGATTTACAGACAGGATATCCTTTGATTAACCAGTGACATACTGGATCAGGGGCATCTTTCCCTATTATAAATTCCTGAAGTTAAGGAGAAACAAACTCTGTGGAAGACCTTATCTTTTACAGGTGCTCTATGAAGTAACACTGGGGAAAAAAAAAAACAAAAAAAAGGATAGACTCATTCACAGCCTCACACTTACTTCAGTTCATTACGAAAAGGTAAGTTTCTTCCCTTGTGCTATTGGCGGTAGGTTGAGATTTCCTTCCTGTCACCTCATAACAGAGTTCCCATCCCACAGTGGCGCCTGCCTTGCTTATGGTCAGCTCAGAAACTTTGCTGGGGATTGCCAGTATCAGGTCCTGATGACTCCACCAGCCAGGTCTGTACAGAGTCATACATGACTGCCCTCAGCACTGGTATTGCTGTTCCAGAGGGTGACCACAAGTTGCAATAAGCTAAATGAGGTTTTTTACCTTCTGTACCCAGAGCAGGATATTTCTCTCCAGTGAGGTCAGGTGTTCCCCAGAGACCTTCTGTTACCTTTGGCCAACTAAATAATTCCATGTGAGGAAAAGGGAAAGAAAAAGAAACTCACCTTTGCAAACATTAGCATGGGCTGCAAGAAATGCTTAGGTAAGATGACGAGATAAAATGAGATTGCTTTTAATAGCAAACCCATGTTTTCTTTGGCCTATATGCAACCTAAAGCTTTCCAGGTGCTCAAGCTTAAACTAGTCTTATAGATCTAGAGAGACATTCATTATTTAACAAGCACAAAGAGGCCTGAGGAAATGATTGCTTCTTCCTCCTATTCTGTACACAGGTAGAGCTAATCCTGGCTCTCGGATCAGAGAGGCGGTTTTCATCTGCTCTAAAAGCCTGAGTTTTGTTTTTCCCTTCATTTCCTTCCTGCTAAAGACCTCCTTGGTGCAGAAAGCCCTGAAGGTTACCCATGCTCTCTTAGCAGGAGCTCAGCTTTGGGCAATCCCTGCTTGAAGTCAGATGCTGAGGCCCCAAAGATGGACACTTGCTCTCAGAGGTACAGTTGGAGCCCACCAGAAACTGCTGCTGGCAGCTTCATGTTTCAGTTCTTTATCTGGTTGTCAGAAAGGGTGCATGGGGTAGAACACTCATTTCTCAACACCAGGTAAATACTGGCTGCCAGGAAGCTGGGAAGATGCTACAGGGACTAATGTAGCAGTGACCTCGCCAAGCTGCTTCATCTGTTCCCAAACAGCGAGATGATCACCATCTTTGCTATGCTGCCCATGCATCCAGACTGCAGGGCCAAAGGCTGGTTGTCCAAGTCATCCCTCTGACCCTTCTGATCAGAAATGCAAACAATTAATCTCCTGCCTAAACTTACAGCGAATGCTTCATGTCAGGGAAAACGAACTGCTCCAAAGGGTTGTCCTGGGAAATTAACAGCTATAACGATTTCCAGAAGCACACACTGTTCCCAAGACAGATGACTCAGTGGATTCATCTTGTCATGGTATTTTGTTCTCAGCCTTGGACACCAGAGCCCCCAAGTACCTTTTGCCTTACCTTTTGCCACACAGCATCCTCATTTTACAGTTAGTGTGAGACAGATGCCATGAGGAAGGAACAGGGAAGCTAATTCTTACTGCCTAGAAGTACAGATATATCAACAATACCAACAAATACCAACAACAAGCTGGTGTTGGCTTCTGTCAGGTTTTTACCATTACAGTCATCAGCCCTGTAATGGGTGTTTCCTAACTATCACATTTAATGCTGGCTGCATTTTTCCACAAGGGTTTGTACAATTTGTGACTACTTTAACTCAATTAATTAGGAAAAAAAAAAGGAAAGAAAAAAAAACCCAATCAATCAAAAATATCCAGATGAGACTTTTCTTATGCTCATTTTTTAGGCTGTGTTGAGCAATATTTTCTCCACGCTTAACTAGAGTGGAAACAATGTAGATTTGAGAAGGAGCCCTTACATCAAGCTAAGGCATACTGCAAAAGACAGGCTTTGTGAAAGAAGGGAGCTAAAGTAGGTCAGAATAAAACAGGCAAAAGAGACACATGTTCCTCATCTATCACATAATTTTATAAGATGCTGTAAGTGAAGTTAGTTTCAAGAGCTGGCTGCAACTGGTCTTCCTAAGGAATTTTCAAGGGAAATCAGTAGAGCTTCAGCTTTATGTTAATCCTCCATAAGGAAGCATAGTTTATTTCCCATGAAAAAGGGTATTTGTAGTCAGAACTTCATTTCTATTCAAACCTCCAAGTGGGATGTGAGTGGGGTGATGCTGTGAGCCTTCTGTTTGCCCACTGGATCAAGTCTGGTTTATCTGTTATGACCCAGAGGTATGATTTCTACTAAGGCAAAATAATCCAGCTGTATGTGTTATGTACCTCCTCTGAGCTGCAGGGAACACGTTTTGCAGTCATTTAGGAATAACTCAGTGCTGCAAAGCCTCTTGTCAATCTTTGCAATGTCCACAGTCAACAGAAAAACAGCTGGGAAGAACTACAGGGAAACTAGGTGGAAAAGCTCAGTCTTCACCTACTGCCCAGCAGCAGCCCTGTGACACAGAGAGCAAGGTGGGATGTTGATACTTGATGTCACACCTTTCTAAGCAAGCCAGTGATGGCTCCTATGCTCTTCCATCCCAAAGTTTAGCACTTGCTTCTCACTTCCCCATGCTCCTATTGCCTTACCATAGTTCCCAACAATGCAATGAGATGCTTTCCACCTTAACCAGGGACTGCAGTCAGCACAGAGTCCCAGGCAAGACCTTTCTCGTGGAGGCATGCACACAGATGTGATTAAATGCACCTTATTGCTGCTGTGCTCCGCAAGGTGGAAACACTCTGCATAAGGCGAAGTCAGAGCTATTGCTGCTGTCCGTAGCCAATGTATTGAACTGCTGTATCTTTCAAATGCAGTTTTTCACTCTTCATTTAAAATAGCAGTGCTTTCTTTAAGGCAGAGCTGATGACAGAAGAACAATCTACCCTGGCCATTTCTATTGCAGTCCTGGCAAAATATTTTGGCTCAGCCTTCAACTGTCTCTAGGGCCTGTGTATCTGTACTACCCAGCTTGCTTTACCAGACCTTAAGGTGGGCCATGGGTGACAGCTGAAGAATCGCTGTTTAATCCCATTTGAAACTCCATTTGGCTTTGTCCTAAACTGGAACACAAAAGGTCACATTTTTGAAACCTCCCTTGAAGCGTGGGAGCTCAGAGCATTCTTGGCTCAAATGCTTCTTGTGGGGAATCAACCACATGAACCTGCTCAGATGAGCAGCTGTCAAGCTGGGTTCGAAGGCCCCATGCTCCTCACTGCACATGTGCGTTGAACTCCTGACAGAGCACCTACCCCACAGTGAGTTAGTCACAGGAGGGTGTTAAGCTACTGTGGTTTAGCCAAAATGCTGGCACAGAGCCACCGTTGTAAAAGCAGACAAGCATCAACATTTCATCAACATTTCCCAGAGGAAATTTCTCCTCTTGATTTCCCTGATGGAGAATTGCATTCCCCTCCTCCCCCACATCAAGCGCTCGTTTTTTCTTTTCTAAAAAAAGAAACACTACCTTTTACTGAAACCACGTTATTTCTCTCAGGAAATTGTGAGGGTAACTTCCCAGATAGCTCAGCTTAAGCAATCTTCTGTACAGCATCTGACACCAAGAGATGCAGGCTTTCCATTCAAGAGGTGTCTTGCCAGCCTGGAATACTATACTGTGTTGCCTTTTCATCACTAAAGCTTCAACCTGGAAAAAACACAGGAAACCTGTAATACAAAAGCACATGGGTATCTCAAACAAACAAAAAACAACAGAAAAACAGAGTTTTGCTGCTTTTGCAGTCTGGTCACAAGAGTCCAGATGTTTTCAGGCTGTTGCAGAATTCAACAGCAAGTTCAGTTCAGTGTCAGCCATGAGTCTGAAACACATCCATAAGGACATAAGCACTATGTACAAGATCATCTTATTGTTCTTATTGAAGTGTTAAATTGAACACAAACACCTGCCATAGTTACAAGCAGATCTTTTGGAAGGACGGAAGGTAAAGTGAAGGAGATATAGTGCTTACTCAGATAATAGAGATTGTCCTTTCAATACATCAACAAACTTTAAAGAAGGTTTATACAGCACTTTAGGAAACTTGTAAACTGTAGAAAACTTGAACTTTTGACAGGTATGATGACAACTTTCAGAGATCAGTGATGGATGCTAAGCCATGGATGTTCTGGCCAAAAAAGGGTTCTTACTGATAACCCCTCTGGGAAGCCAGGGCCTATATACATCTATGAATCTATTTTGTTCTGCTACAGACCTTGTCCCACCAAGCGCATGGACAGGTTGCCAAACCTGTAACCACCCAGAGCACAGCATGTATGTTCAATGAAAGGTGATATTAGAAGTAACACGGGAGAGCACAGGAAGTATCTCCTTTGGAGCAGGCTGCAGCAATGCCATAAAGCCTGGAAGTTGAGCTTTGCACTAAGAGTGAGTTCTTTGACATATAAAAGCAAAACACAGCAGAAAGCAAACCCTTTACAGGTATGTACTCTTAGTAGTCATGTACGGTGAAACCTGTGCTAGCTTGAGTGTAGCACACGAAGCCTGCTCAGCCTGACCCTAGGACCTTTCCTTGACCTACCACTAAGAACTGAATGTGTAGAATATGTTAGTTGTACTTATTAAAAATCTTCCCATGAGACATACAGATATTATCTTCTGCCATGGCCCCAAAAACACTTTACATGACAGTTTCCTGAAAAATCAAACAAAAATTTATTTTGAGCAGAAAGATGATGACAGACTTCAGTGGGATTAAGCAATTCCTCTCAGCATTTTTGTGGGTTTAACTAAACCCAGAGATTACAAGCAGAAAGGAAAGAACCACCCCCAGATTTTCCATTAAGAAAAAATAAAAGCAGTGAAGAAACATTCTGAAGGAACTATAGAAGGTAAACAGGCCAGTTAGACATGACATACTGCAGCCTTGACCTCCCAACAGCAGCTCTGTTACTCCCATTCAAATCAACTGCTGATACGGTTTTCCTCTCACCCAGCAGCTCCAGCTGTTTCTGAATGCTTCTGCTTTCCAAGCTTGTAGAAGGAGACCACACATACAGGGAGGAAAGCAAAACACATTAAAAAAATCCAGTAAAACCTTTGGCTCTATGAGCACCAAGAGACTGAACAAAACTGCAGCACCTCTTCAACAACTTGCTTCCAACAGCGAGAGAAACAGGAGCAGGGCAAGTATCACAGATAAGCAGGCTGCTTCTGCAGAGAAGTTCAGGGAAGTTACAAGTCAGTGAGTCACTCCTCATGACAGAGGGGAAAAAACCCACTCATAGGTCTTGAGAAGTCAGATAGACTGATTGCACCATCTTTGCAACAGGAATCTCAGATTAAAGCATCTCACCTGCTGCTTCATGAGCACTGTACAGCCCTCCAGATGACAGAGTTGGTCATTTTGGATGCACAACATGTACAATTGACAGGAGAATAAACCTGAATCATGCTGAATGCTTTTGTCAGAACAGGAAAAAACTTCAGTCATCTCACACAGAAAACCACATTGCAAAATTAGAGGTGAAGCCTGCCAGGATGGATTTAGCTATGTTTATGAGGTGCCTGTCAGTGATGTGCACACTGTCGACAAAAATTAAACAATGTACTTGATTGCTAGAAGAAGGACCAAAGATCAGCAGAAGTTCATGGAGGAGCTTGTGCATTTTCACACAGAAGACTAAGGCTGAAGATGTTAAGGGTATATACACCCTGTAAGTACACTGGAATTTATAATGTGTTTTTATAATACACATTCTTGTACACGTGTTTATGCATAAAGATTATGTACCCAAATCCATTTTCTATTTAGGCCTTGAAATTCTCATAAGCATTTTAGTTCTGACATAACCTCTGTGTTCCCAGTGCCCCCACTGCCACTGCCCTGTAATGGCCGTGGTGGGAATACTGCCTCAAGCCTGGGCAGCCCTCTCCCACAGCACACTGTGAATGCTCCAGCCATCACCTACCTTGTCAGACATTACCTGCAGAGATGTTAGCATCACTTTTCTGTCACCCTTCCTTGGTGGTACAAGTCTGGACCACTTTCATATTGCAAAGAAGAGACACCTGAGATAAATGTCACTAAAATGATGCTCATATACAACATGTGATTTGGAAGATTAATGCAGCAAGTCCCAGTGAAAATATGTCTCTGAAGCAGGGTCTTGATGTATTAATCCTTGCTAGCACCTGAAAACTGATAACTTTTTAATGACACAAATGGTAAATTAATAAATTCTAGGATATTAAACCTGAAATAGAATAGAAAGAGTGAAGTAAATATCAATATCTCTTATATCAACAAGAAAAGTCTACAGAGATTTCCTAAACAAGGCTGGGAAGTCAGACTTAACTTCTTTCTTAAGTAAACAGCAAAAGAGGAAACAAATGCACTTTTAAACAAGTTATTACAGTTGTTAGCTGCTTGTTACATGATCTCCAAAGAGTTAAGTACCAAAGGCCAGCAGTTTTTCCAGGGTGTTTTGCATTTTTCACTACTTATACTGAGAGCCATTGAGCACATTACCACATGCAAACATTTCCCACAAGCACCGTTCCTCTGTAAATGGCTGGCTTCTGCTCCAGTTGACAGTCGACCAGATGTGAGAGCTTGGGAGGCTTGGGGACTACTGAGCACTGCTCTGGCGTGCTGGGGTGGCAGCCAAGCCACATAGAAAAGGACAAGTCAGGTAACTTGTTACAGCAGCTATTTTTCCACTTATGCTTTTTGTGACTCCAAATAAGCATATAAAATGAAATGCAACGGTGAAGTGCATCTGGGTGTATGCAAGGTCAGGCTTGGAGGGGGAGGCAGGCAGGAGCAGCTGCCCTGCAAAAGGGCTGAGTCACTGGGAGCTGGGATTAGGGTCAGCAATGATGCAGTGTGGGATGGGGTAGGGAAAGGTTTGGGGCACAAACACTTAGCCCTACTGTGGCCCAAGGATGACATGCAAGGAAGAGAGTGGGACATCAAGCAGCTCCAGAAGAGGAAAGTGCTGCAGGCAACATGTGGTTCTGCTCCACCAGTCACAGGTCTGGCCCCACAGCAGCAGCGATGCGTTTTGTGTTTCCCAGTACATGCTGAACGCCTGGTTCATTATTCTCAATTAAACATAAGTGAACCATACTAGCTCCTTCAAGGACACTGCTGTTCATGCTGCTTTTCTGCACAGCATACTGAACTGATTTAGAGGATGAGAGAAACCGGGTTTGGCAACTCAGATGTTTTGGGGTTTTGGCAATGTGACAAAACTTCCTGATGAGACGGATGTATGTAATACCCTTTCGCTGGCTGTTCTGCTCAACTCAGGCATCTGTAAGCACTTCTCTTTGGATCATCTGGAAGTGACATTTGGAATAAGTCAGACTTTAAGTAGATCATAACCTCTGCTAGTAATAGACACAAGATAGTTGGTTACCTGGATCTGAAGGGCCAGTTCTCTTCGCCCCCTGTAGAGGAATATTCAACAGATAAACCTTAATAGGTAACAAAAACATGTGGGATTCACCAGGCTGAACAGTAATTTACCTATCATTAGCAATCATTAGTTCAACATCTGCTAATACAGTTACACAGATTAACTGAAGAAGAGAAATTACTGTTGAAATACCTTGTGCAGAATGGCTAACTGAAAGAACACAAATATTCTGTATGTTTTGCTTATGGTAATGTATTTACCATCCTGATTTTGCTTGCCTTTGATTTCAGATTATGTATAATCCAAGTGACAAAATGTATAGGAATAATAAGCAACTTGCATACAGAAAAGAAGGGCAGTCCCATGGGCTTTATGCCAGTCTCTGCTCCTCCTCTGAAATGGTGAATTCTTTGAATGGTAACTGTTAAGAAAAGCCAAGCAAAGAGAGACCAGTCCTCACCCAAACTGTGATCAGCAGTGCGATCAGCAGTGCGATCAGCAGTGCACCAAAGTGCCTTCATCCCTATTTAGAGGGAAACCAATAAATCTTTTCAAGGAAGCTATGCATGCCAGCCCATGCTGTGCAGAGCAAAGTCAGGCAGCAAGACAGAGGACAAGGCTGCTTTCCAGGGCTGCCATCCTTGCTGAGCGTCATAGCACTCTTGGTGCTTCCATAGCACTCACCATCACCTTCAGCAGCAAAACAACATCCGAATGACTCAAACCAGCACAGATCTGCGGCAGTCAGTGGAGCTGTGCAACTCTACAGCTGCCAAGGAGAGGAAGGGCCATGGTTTTAAAAGCTTCAAACAAAATTAAACCAGAAGACCACAGTCCTGCACTTGACACATTACTGGTACACAGGCCTGACCTTGTTGATAGTAGCAGAATTGCTTCTCTTTCCAGGTAAGTATTCTGTTGTATTTAAGCAAAACTGCTTTTTCATTTTCCATTGTCTCAGCCTTCCCCAGATAATCCCATTATACAGGCAGGACCCACCACGCCAGGGCACGGGAGCATGGAAAGCATCAGTTTAAAGTCACATCACAGCAGCAGTTTTGAAAGATGCCTTGAATGCACAGGCACAGCCATCTGCTGTGTGTATGTATATGGATTGAAGACTCTGTATGCTGCCAAAACACTCCAGATCCATAAGGGATTCCTGTGGCAAAGCCTTTGCAAGCTGGAGAATATTCCCATTCATTTACCTCTCTCAGTAAATTGGCCAAAGCCACCTCCTGCAGCTTGGGCCTCAGCAAAGCTCCTGGGCAGGGGTTTTATTTCTTCCTAGGATTCTACACACTCATAAGGCTCAGT